GAGGAGGTACCCATGTATCCTGAATAGGAGATCAGATAAATTGCCATCTGGTGCTAAACTTGAAGAGAAGGTGTCCTCTGGCCTGGATGTAAGTTTTCATTTCATTTGTTTCTTACTTAAATAAGTCACAAATGAGTCTATTACACGGCTAGATGGGACTAGAACTTCTAGGATTTGGAGGAGGTACCCACGTATCCTGAATTGGAGATTAGATAAACTGTCATCTGGTGCTAAACTTGAAGAGGAGGTGTCCTCTGCCCTGGATGTAAGTTTTCATTTCATTATTACTTAAATAAGTCACAAATGAGTCACCGTTAACCAGATAGTCACATTTCACTTTATGCAATCAAAAAAAAAATCACATTGTATATTTCACATGTTACAATAAATAGTTTTCATGGACAGGTAATAGTTCTCGATATCAAGTCTCGGCTCACTACTTTACACAGTCAAAGTTCACATTCTGCAATTAGTATACAAAGTCATTTAATTTATTTTGTTGTAACAGTTTCAAGTACAAGACACCAATCTGTCTGAGATGGAAATGGTGCAGCCATATATCCATGGTGTTCCATATAACATACCACATCAACCATCTCTATCACGTGCCAACAAAAGTTCAAAGCTCCAACAACCAATCCAACAGAAGTTCAAAGCTCCAACAACCAATCAACAAGTCCAAAACACACATGTAGACAATTGTTGTTAACATAGTTCACATGTACATATACATTTGTCACACACTGTTGTGAATATGGCACATGTTATTTAGATAGGTCACAAATATACCAGCATTGGTCACATGCCGTAGTGTCCAAGTTCACATGTCATAATGTAGAGGTCACAGACGAATATGCATATACATCATTCATATACGACGATACCTTACACTCTCCATTGCATTGATATATATCAAATTTCATAGTTGTTGAAGAGTTTGAAAAATGAAATTAGTACACTCTGAACAAAAAATAAGGAGTTGTCTATGCAAATCAATGATGTTAAGGTACATTTATCATCATTTATCGCTGAAGGGAATTACAAGATGAATATTGTTGTTCATGTACAAGGAGAAATCAGGTCAAAACTTGTTGGAGATGAAGTCAGAATTGAACTCTCTATTTGAATCTGAGACCACAATGATATTAAGCTCAATGGATCAAATTTTGAACAAATTCAAATAGAGAAGTGAATTGCCTAGTGATTGAGCAAAAAACATTCAAGAAGAAGTAAGTTCATCCTATTACCAAGGTCATTTGACATCTTCATTTCTCACTTCTTGACTTTTCATTTTTGTGCCATTTGTAGGGGAAACTGTTGAAGAAACTGTTGATAAGAAAGGAAACGATATGATGTACCCTAAGGAGAAATTATTCGACCTAATGATGATGGGACTGCTGTCATTTGATTTGGGAATTGGTTCTACCCAACTTACTCCAAATGTTGGCAACACTGAGTCACCAATGCTCTAATCAAAACAAGTAGAAGAACAATTGGAGGTTGTAATCACCCGTGTAGTGAAAAACATAGAATGTGAATTTCAAGAGATTTCTGGTTAAAAAAACTATTTACGCGCACAAAGTATATATTACCTGTTATAGGTCACAGATGAACTACATTGTTTAATATTTCAATATATGACAAGTATCACCCACTTCTGCACCTACATCTGGATTGTCGTTGAAGCGAGTTTCTAGACTAGCACGAATATTACAGTCTTCGTTTGTTTCTAACAAAGGGAATCAAAACAAGAGTTTGAGGAATGTTGTAATTTTTCGATATTACAATCAGTATACAGATGATGCTAATGTTGCAACATTTAAGAGTTGGTTCCATAGAGATTACAAACCAACAAACAAGTACGTATGACATTATTTTGTGAACTACAACATAGACCCATTGCAAATGAGTATAAATAATTTTTTATATGTTTTTCTTTACATTAAAAAAAAATCAAAGATGATACGATGCTATTAAGCCACATTCTACATTGGTTCACTCACCATAGGCAACAAAATATGGTGACATGAGATTGTTTCTTCATACGCGTCATTGACAAACTCGGTATGTAAAGATCATATATCATTCTACATATGTATGATATCGTTTGTACTGTATCACATATCGTAGGTCACATACCATATAAACAAGGCATAGACATTATGGTCAGATCACATAAATTACATACAGACCACTTCGTAAAAGTGCTATGCGCTGTGTCCCTATGTTTGTGGAACTAAAATTGTATAGTTTGTCACAACGAATATAATAAAGCTACAATGGGGTAGTTCTGGCTGCCTTTGTGACCGCATTCACTTACTCCACTATATTTAATGTCATTGTTGAATATCTATTAGATGGCATATGGAATCGTGACCATATTTTCTGGTCCTACTTTGACCTACAAGAAAGAACACGTTTTGATAAATGTTACATCTGACATTTGTGACCTCTATTATAACGTAAAATTTGCTTGAAATTAACACATTACCAGGTAATCCATAATCTTATAATACATTGAAGCCAGCTATTGCATGTTAAATTCGAATTCGGCCAATGTACTGTGCGGACTACTGAATTGAATGCATACATTATGTTGCGACCTAATTTTCCATAATATGATTTCATATTTTGTAGGAGATGATACGAACAGATCCCATAAAAAGTCCATGGATACACCTTTTTATTACGTTCTTGATACTATTGTAGCGATTCGATACAAAACACAAGTCATCCCTATTTCCATACGCTTTATTCAAGTTTTCAAAAAACCACAACCAAGACCTATCATTCTCATTATCTCCAATTCGAAATGAAGTATGAATATGTTTTTATTGGCATTTTGTGTACACGCCGTGAAAAGTATACCACCATAGTGTTCATTCAAATACGTATCATCAACTACAATAACGGGCCTACAGTGCTCCCATCTTCTAATTGATGCACCTAGGGCCATGAAGCAGTATTTGAATCTATTGTGACCATTAAACTCCAATCATGTGATCGTAACAGGATTCGTTTAATGAAGTATGGAAAAGAAGTTCGGTGTTTTCATGAATGAATTTGTAGGATCCCCCTAAGCATCTTCAATGTTTTCTCCCCGAGATCTCTAAGGCTTTACATAATTCAACGAAACTCCATATGTATTTAACTTGTCATTACATATATCATTTGGAGTGTATATGGTTCGTGAGAATGTGTACTTGTATTTGATGCAAAATGACAGAACTGAGGTTGATACCTGCCTGTGATATCCTAATACTACACTCGAAGCACATGTGTGACCATCTTTGATCCGTCTAATCTTAAATATATATGTTGTCCCCAATTTTGAAGATTTACAAATCCAATTACACTCATTTTTGCGAACACCGGACAATATATTCTTTCTTGTTTGAACGAACAACCATAAATTCAAACATGTTTTGTATTTTAAACAAAGACAAACTCAATTTCAAAATTTCCTTATTATGAAAAACTCTTCCATTTTCTATTTCCATACCATTAGCAACGAATACAACTGTGACTTCATCTCTGAAATTGTGACCTGAAGATTCAACTATTGCATCGCATATGTTTGATGATATATCCATTAATAAAAACATATCACCGCAACTGGAACCATGCATGATTTTTCTCCACTTTCCACAGTTGTGAACTCAACGTTTCTCGAATATTTCGAAAGGTCACAATCCATGCACTTCAGCATCAGGTAAGATAACACATTATTGTCACTCTTTATTTTGATTGTAGGCAAATCATTGTTCAATGTATACGTCATCATGATTGTCACTTTAGTTTGATCGAAACTGAATTCGATCATAACGATATTTACAAGGTTCGTAAAACAGCAATTCCGATCAACCAACACCAGTGATACGTAAGATCCATTTATCAACAAACAGGCACGGACCCCATTTTTGCATTTTTTTTTTCACAGAAAAATGTAAGTTACAAAAAACCGATGCAGTTCACGATTACTGCACGTTACAGATTTGCACTACAGGTACCATAATGAAGTACTGCATATAACACTACCTTTAAAAAATGTCACAGCATGAAATCAGACATGTCACAATAACTTATTATGAGTCACATAAATAAGATCGTTGGTCACAATCATTTTATAAATTATCTTCCATTGAATGGTTTAGCTACAAGTCACTGGATCACATATATTGAATTATGTCACATAAAATTATGCATTTCAAATAATCAGTCACATCATATGACTCTAACCAATTACACGACTTATTAGAATGTCACAATTACCAATACAATTCACAACGAATCAAAGTTACAAATATAAATTTTCAAAAAGAAAGTACGACATACAAATTCGAGTTCGATACTAGTTAAATATCAGTTACATTGACTACCGATGCATAATTATCCGTCTGAGAAATTGTAAAATTGTGAGTTGCCCGATTCTAATATTTAATCATCTACCAATTGTTATACGACGCCGATCAAACCCAAAATCAAAGCAACAGGATACGACTTCAATCCAACAAAACAGAGATTTTTCGACAACTGTCAATAATTATCAATTTGTGACATGAAATCTCCAATTTGTGTTTTAGGGATGGAAAAATGTATTTAACGAGTCCAGTCACAAATGAAATCTTAATGATTGATTTTAAGGATTGAATCTTAACAGAATTATATACATACGAGATTTTCTGAGTTCTAAAATTGGAAGCATATTATCTAAAAAGTGAAATGAAACATACTTATTGTTTGGGTATTGAATTTTCCCTTTATTTTATTACCAATTTTACATGGAATCAATTTTGATATCGGCATTTACTCGAGCAAATTTTTATTTTCAGTTCCAACTCATCACGGCTTGATATGTATATCCAGTCTACGTAAGCATACATTGGAACATATAAACAGTGAGAGAATCAGTGTTTCACATGTAACGAATCCGATTAAAACAAAAAACGTAATCCAAAGATAGTGCATGCAACGAATGCAGATAGATGCATTGCTTAGGACTAATGCACTTGATTTTGCTCTCTTTTCCTTTGGAAGAAAAGTGAACCTAACAGAACAGCGATGCCAGTGACTGCAATGGAAAAAAAGAGGCGCCTTGGTGAAAACTCGCGTGGTGGTGGTCTTCTTTGAGCTCCTTCAGGTGGCCTCGTGTTCCTTCATTGATATCAGAAAAACCCGCGTCAGAAATACTTGAGACCAAACGAATAAGAAACTAAATAGAATTCTGGGGGAAATAACAAATAGACACCAAGTGAGCAACGAAAAGAATGGCCAATATGTAATTAATGGAATAACAATAACTATAGGATATGCCAAGGGGATCCAAAACAGAATACAAATATTATCACTCTATCGGATGTAGGTCAGTTTCAGACGGCAGTGATGCTATCTACATGTGCCCTATCTTTTAGGATAATGGTGCAGACTTTTTCTCGTATCATTTTCATGTTCTGTTTCTGTATCTGTTCTTTTTAGATGCTAAACAACGTCAATTGCAATCCCTTTCAGCCAATGTTACCATATGCATCAATAACAAACCCATTCACTGAAAAACAAAGTTCCTGTGCAGAATGAAGTTTCAGGTTATCACTATTTTCAGGATTTCCAACATTATTACTTGAATTTTTATTTTTTTTTCATTTATCCTAGAAAACCAATCATTACATGTCAATTTTCAGGTTAATAAATGAGGAAATCAGTGAAGTACAGCAGGAATAAATTTCTCATTCCAAATGAAGATTTATCATATAAACATCTTAGAATACTTAAGGCAACGAGTTAACTAAATAAAAATGTCTTTGACTCTTCATACCTTGAAGATTCTGCAATGTCATTGACAAGACCATTGCAGCGGCTTTCATGGCCATCCCTCTCACGGAGTCTGATATATTTGAGGCACAGATGGCATAACTCTGTCCGGTTCCCACATACTTCCTGAATTAATTGATGACAAATAGATTACATCACTAAAAAATTTCAATATTCATTATCTTAATATATTACTACCTGATGTTCCAATAAATCAATTGCTGGCAGTGGAAATTCGCAGTATTCACAAGTCACAATCCTCTGCGGGCAATTTTCTCCTTTATGAAAATTTAAAACATCACGTTCCATAGTTTCACTACACTGGGAACAAGCTACCTGCCCAAGGCATTGAGTTCACTAAGGATAGAAATCCAGAATTGAGAAAATGGAAGGAATCCACAACAATGAGACATTAGAATAATGTATTATGTCAAACATTTCAAATAAGAACAGTAAATCTATTTAGAACATAATAGTACAACCAAAGCAATAATTTGCATCTGAAATGAAACATGAATCTTGTACCTGTCATTTAAACTAATTTCAGGAACCAATCAAGACCCCTTCTATATATTGAAAGGAGGCCTCATATATGCCCTTCTTCTGTAATTTCTAGCAATCTTGTTTCTTATACATAACCAACTTTTGGTTTTCTATATGAAAGCAAACTGAAAAAAAATCCTGTATATAGAATGATTTAGTGCTAATCTCACTTTCTTGCATGCAATTTCTTACAAGAGATTGTGGAATAATAGTAAGGTTATTATTACTTGACACTTAAATCACAATGTTAGTAGTGGATCCTCATATTCATAGTTTACATGAACATCTAAGTTGACAGACTCGAAAAAGAATTAAGTTGAGAAAAAAATATTTTGAAGGGTGAAAAAACATTTTCAAAGTGGGTAATAAATAATGAGATTGTTAATTAGCCTCCAAGGAGATTATACAATTAATTTTCTTGTTGCACATGCTAATGCACAAAGGAAATCTCCGGGCTGAAATACCACTACAATTCAGATGTTTTCTTGTCAGTAATATCTGATTTTCCTATTAGCATGAAAACTTTAGGCATATAACCAAAAAGTACGTTCACCATTTATAGGGAAGGCAAAAAAAACCCGACAAACCCGATACCCGCGGGGACCCGCCCCGAACGGGGAGAGGAAAACCCGATTAAACGGGTAACGGGGCGGGGATGGGGCGGGGAGTTATTCCCCGAGGCGGGGACGGGACGGGGCGGGGACGGGTAACGGGGTCCCCGCCCCGCCCCGCCAAAAAAAAAAATTTTTTTTTTTTTTTTAAGAATTCAATACTTTAAATGAACATTTTC